CACTATTGTAAGTGTGTGTGTGTGGGGGGGGTAATTTGCTGTCTAAGAAGTGCACCACTAGCAGTGGTTTACCTAGTTCACGCCGCTGGCGAGTATTGTATTTTGTTGATGTTATAAAGATTACCATTTTATTTCCAACCTCCATTTTGGTTATTCCTCATTCAGTAACCTTTTCTAGATTACAGTACACTGTTGTTATTATTATTTTATTATTATTCTTGTTGTTATTATCATCATTATTATTATTATTATTCGGAAAGAACAGTCGTGATTAGAGTGATCATACTAGACTTAAATTTATCCTTTCTTCTTTTTCTTCTTCTTATAAATATTATTATTATTGAAATATCTTCAAGTTGGCTGACCCAGTCCGCTCAGAAATTCTCCAGCTAAGTGTATCTTCCAGGGCTACCTCATCATTCAAATTTAAGGAGGAAAAAAAAAAAACCCCAAAAATAACAAAAAAAACAAAACAATTTTCTCAACATCTGGTCATGATGCACCCCCGTTACTCCCGTTCATGAACATAGATTTACCTTACTATTAGTATTATTGCTGTTCAGCTGGTTTTATGGTTAGAGGCTTAGAAGGAGAAAATGACGGGTCAATTTTGAATTGTGGTCGAGGTCATTTCATTCACATTCACTCAACTACCCTTGAAAAAGGTATGAATCTATCTTTTCTTTTCCTAACATCTATGAGTTAAATAGCAGGTCAGACTGCGCTCTTAAGCCGGGATTAGCAACCAGTCTAGGAGAAGGACAAATCTGAATTCAAAACCGTAAATAGCTCTCCCGAAACACACGCAAGGTTTATGTTGCTCAAAATGACTCCATGAACACGGCTGTGTCTGATGCGAAATGCTTATTATTATTATTATTATTATTATTATTATTGCCGGCATCGTAATACATAAAACATATTCTAAGGTCAATACGAAGTATCCACTGACTTATAATTCTGTCAGTAAAATAGGCTTACGGCTATATCCTGTTGAAACATTGGTTCTCGTATGATCACCGAAGTTAAGCAACGTCAAACCTGTTTAGTAGCTATATGGGTGACCGCTTGGAAATACCATGTACTTAGATGTACGGAGTGGTGTAATGGATAACGCCTTGGAATTGGATATCGTAGAGCGATTTCCAAAACCAATTGGGTTCGTTATATTCACTTACGCGCAAATACACTTGGGAAAGGCATGAATCCGCTTCTTCTACCTCCAACTATGGGTTAAATAGTAGGACTTTTATCAGTAAATCATTATTATTAGTAAATCAATATTATCTAAAAATATTCTTACAACCTGAAAAAATATTTTCTGGCTTAAGTCAGAAAATATTTTTAGATTTTAAGGTTGATAAGCAGTAAAAATAAATCAATATCACTGAAATAGAATTTAATAAAAATAATTATTTTTAATAAACAAAAAATAAACAAAAAAATTACTCCTTCAATGTCTTTTGAAAAATTTGCTTTTAAGGAAAGATTGTTTCAGGGCCCTTCTAAGATCAAGAAAAGATTGCTTCAGGGCCCCTATAAGATTAAGTTCCCTAAAATATAAGCATCATTAATTTGATAGTAGAGCCGCTAATAGTAGGAAGTATGTCACTATATCGGCCATGAGACCGGCCACCCCACAGGATAGGTATTAAGCCTTTGAACCGTTACAATTTATGAAGAATAGTCTGAGGAGTTAGTTGATAAGAGTGCTAGTTTGCCTGAACTGTAAATCACCATGAAGAAACGGCTTTCACCTTCGCTTGAACGCCGCCTACCGTCAGCGGAGCGAAAAAATGCAATCCAAACATGGCCGCATATAGAGGCGAATTTATGCAGGCGAACGGGCATGCGTTCTTCTACAAACAAAAAAAAAAAGAAAGTATTTATTTTATTATTATTTTCGGCTTGGCATAGCCTCGTTTTAAACATTCAAAGCTGCTAAATGGCGCCAACTTTTTCTCATCTTTGATCGGCTGAGCGGATTTCGGTGACTTAATCCGATCAAATTCACGAAAACCAGTTAAGTAAATAAATCGTAATGTTGAGATCAATTCTAATTAGTGTCGCCTGATTGCTACCGTGTGGTCCTACTTAGATTTGATATTGTCTTAATCAAACAAGTACAAAAATTTAAATATCTGTGAAGTGTTCTATCAGAGGACGTAAAGAGCAAAACTGAAATGAGAAGATGCATTCCAAAAGCTAAGCAGAGTATTAAGAGATAGAAAAACTTTGTTAGAAACAAACAAAACGGCACTGAAATGTTATGTGATATCTGCCCTCCTTTGTGGCAGTGAATGCTGGACAATTTCCTCGCAGATGAAGAAGAGACTTGAACCAATTGAAATGTCGTTCTACAGAAGGATGCTGAAGATACCATGAACATGTCAGCAACGACGAAGATTTAGAGAAAATTGAAACAAAAAGCAAACTTAACTAGCAGCATGGCCCGGCGTTGCCCATGCTTGATTCAAAAATCGTACGACTCATACAGCAATCGCTATCACTTGACTTAAAATATTTTTGCCCTTCCTTGCCTTTAAAGTAGTGCCCTTTGCCGTGATGATGTTGCTACATGCCTTATTTCTTGTCTATCTCACACTGCGAATTTTTTCTAAGCTCTTTACTAAACATTAAATCTGTTACGAAAAAAATCTAAACAAAATGAACACAAAACGATCAGCTTTAAAAAAGGACTCGTAACTAGAAAAACCGAATGAATAAAGAATGTTAACAACAAATACTTTTCCACACCCAACCCAGTTCTGCGGAATCAGAATCAACGTTGAGTTTAAGTAAGCGAATGAGCCAATTGGAGTAAAGTGCAATGCAGATTTAAATTTTTTCCACATGACGAATGCATCTATCGTTTTTTTTGCATGCTAGCATGCTAGTTAACATTCGTGTCAGTGAGCTGTTGGCTCTCACGCTGGCCAATAGAACCTTCCTGCCTAATCGTGGCAGCCAGCTATAGGATCTCACTCTGGCCAGTAGAAAATGGCCGCAAACTACATGAAAACTGCCGTAGAAGCATGAAAAAATCGATTATTTCCACTATCGCTGGGGGTTTTGAAATGCAAAGTCGGTCTTGGCCTTCCCACTAATTTGGAGCATGTGCATGTAAATTTTGGTGCAAATCCGTCGAAAATTGCGGCCGTGCATTCGTTACCGACACACACACATCTTGCCTTTTATAGATAGAGATCAGGAAGAGACAGTTGACATTTTGTGGATACGTAATGAGGAAAGATGGCTTGGAAAATGTGATACTCCCAAGATAGATTAAGGGAAAGAGTGACAGAGGAAAACAGCGCGTAACATACTTGATGAGCTTGAGTAAACGGATGGCAGACCAGGGGTTAGAAGAATTAACAAAATGACAAAATTTATTAAGATGTACAACAGACAAGAAGTTGTGGAGGGCCATGATCATCTACGACGAACCTTCAACTGCAGGATATTTACCAACCGCCCCACGCGGTCAGATGTGGCACAAGGCCGAATTTAATGTAGGGTATCCAAGCCCGTAGACTAGGCCAAAAATTCCCCGTATAAAACCTTCGACATAGCTTCGTCTGGGGATCGTCTCTGCCCGGAGGCAGAGAGTTTTGACCAGCATAGCTGGAGACGAATCTCCAACTGCAGATTAACATACAGTATTTACTATTGTATTTCTGTGAATGGGGACATAGCCATTATCGTCTGTAGGTATGCTACGACACTTATTAAAATATAATTTCAAAGTAAGACTTCTTTTCTTTCTCATTTTATCTCTCATGTTTCTTTCCATACAGTCCTTGGTATGACGATTAACTACATCCGGCAACAAGACCTCTGATTGAGAGATTAGAGGTGTTGATGATCGTGGAGCCACCTCTCAACTGCCGTTGTTACATGTCCACCCTGATCAAGATCGGTACCACCTACTAGCGTCCCAGCTCTGGGGCAAATAGTGAACCCTCAAACAAAAACGAAACACTATGAAAGTATGAAAATACATTTTATAGTAAAAATACAAGCAGTACATTTTTATATATAAAAATTTACAAACTTAACTATTTATAGTAAAATGACCAACGATACTTTTTATCTGTGAATGAAGGCATAGAACTGCGATCAAAATATTTAGATTTCAGCCTTAAATAACCCATAGAGGTGTTGATATGTCGCTAAACAAATTCAACCAACCAAACAACCGACATGAAAGAAATCTTTCATGACATTAATCCATATAATATCTTACAATTTGATCAAAGAAATCAAACTGTATTCTAAAATATAACGTCAAGAAAACTACAACATAAAACATACATATCACAGCCTCTAGTAATCATGTTCACATAAACATGTATATGCACAAAAGCTGAATATCATCTACCATGTACTCAATTGTGAAAGTGCTTTAGAGTAGTTTCACAGTGGAAGCTTGTATTTCACTGTCGATCCTAAATTATGTTCGACGTATAAAACGTTAGGAACTTGAAATAATAGTTAATGACGCAGCAATCTAGTTGTGGTGGTTGATACTTTAATGTCCGACATCGACCGACTCACCAACTCTCTGAGCTCACCGGCGACTGCTACTACTCCTACTTATTATAGGTGGGAGAGTCTATTAACAATAGAATAGGTATGTTCCAGTATAACAGAAAGCAGAATAACATATCTCATATTATTATTACGTCAAAGTCCCCAAGAGAATTAAATTTCGGCATTAAATAACTCATAAGGATGTTGATATGCCGTTAAACAAACAATCAGTCAAATCAATATTTCTTCACAAATCCTGTAATAGGTGGGTACTTCTAGTTATTGTTGGAAGATGAAGCGTTAAAACCGACTTTTGTTTTGTCAGGCCACGTGTGTGGCCAGTGAAAACATCTGGAAAAGCTGTAGGAGAAATGATTAACACTGACGGACAAGAGATAAAAGCATAAGAGAAAGAGATGCTGTTTATTTAGAATGCGCTTCCTCCGCGAGTGGAAAATGATGATGTCCTATCCACAGAGAGAGAGAGAGAGAGAGAGAGAGAGAGAGAGAGAGAGAGAGAGGCTTGCTCTCTCTTCATCAGCTGCTTGGGATAAGAAACTTGGGATAAGTTCAAATTCGAGTCGGGCTCATTGCATCCACATTGCACAAATACACATGGGAAACGTATGAAACAATCTACTTCCACTCCAGTCTATGGGTTAAATAGTAAATATCTCTAAAAATATTATGATCCTCAAAGATTTCTTAATGCAATATTCACTCGCAAAAAAATGAATTTTTTTTCTTACAATCTAATCTGTTTCTGCTTTAAATAATATACATAAAGCACTTTGTAAGGTGTGAGCTATCCGTGTAAAAACATGTTTTCTTATATTTCTTTAAAGCTGAAAAAATCAAAGACGTAAATAAAAGCAAAATCTCATGAACGTGCACGTGTAAAAGAACGTTAAATTCATGAATATGCACATGTACAAAACGGAGTAAAAAAGCTTATTAAAAAAGACGCAGAACAAATTAAAAAAAATTGGAAATAACCCCCTGAAGACTGGAAATTTAACCAAGAAACTTCAAAGTCGGGATAAAACTGATATTTAAAAGTTTTGTAATCTTTTCATATAATATTTTATATGAAAAGATTACAAAACTTTTGTTAATAATATAATAATAGCTGGCCACTCGTATTCGAGGTTACTAGGGCGACTAGCCAATCCCTATTGCAGACTTTCGCTCAGGCACATTTGTGTTTGTTCAAAACCCACAGAGCCAACCTGGGGTTTATACTGCAACTATGCTGAGCAGACCTTAGTTAAAGTTTCTGGAAGAGAGCGTGTTATCTAGAATGATCAACAATCTGAACAACACCAGTACACTCATAACCTCGGTCACTATGACTTGTGACAGCACAGGTATCGACGGCCTCAAGAGTTCCGTCTACCCAATTTCACTCAAAAGTCTTCTGTGGCATGGATTTCAGGCACTTTCGAATGGTGTCGCACGCTGAGATCGTCCCCACCCCCTCCAGACCGATAAACATCATGAAGTCTACTTCCTGACAAATCGACCATGGTGAGATTCCATTATATATATATATATATATATATGTGTGTGTGTGTGTGTGGTATACAGTAATGCATTGATAATTATTATTTATCGAAGACGATGATAAAATGCGACTCGTATTAATGTTTACGTCCCAAGGTTGATTGACTCTCCCACTGACCAATACGGCATCAAAAGAATGTACTCAGCAAATAGCAACGCCAAATCTGGAACTGTCCGCAATTTCTGCAGTAAAACAAAAACACCAGACCTGACGGACCATTAAGTGTCTCCAGTCATTTCCCGTTTTAGCAAGAAGCAAAGAAAGCAATAAAAACCGCCCAATGTCGTAATCCGCGTAAGATGCAAGCGACAATCAAGAATAACTTGTATAAACGAGGAAAGAAAACAAAAGATCGCAGTACATATATATATATATATATATATATATATACACACACACACATATATATATATATATATATATATATATATATATATATATATATAGAGAGAGAGAGAGAGAGAGAGAGAGGGAGGGAGAGAAGATAGAGTTTGTTTGACAATCGCAAATATATATATATATATAGTTGAATTGATGCGAGTTTGTGATCCTGGGTTTCACGCTATTTGCGATTGTCAAATGTGTGTGTGTGTGTGTGTGTGTTTGTGTGTGTGTGTTTTTATAGGATTTATCTGCCTGTTTTTTAATGTATTGAAGAATTTGCATGCATATATATCTATATAATGAATGCGAATGTCAGTGTGTCAACGTGTGACACTTTTTCCTCTTTACTCCAAGAGGCCGTGGCTCAGCATAACATACTATTTTGGAATCAGGCCGAATTCATTACTCCGCACATCTGACCTTACAGCACCTGGTATTCCTAAGCAGTTACCCATCTAGGTACTGACCATTGTGGGACGTGATTATATGGTAACCAGTGATTCAACGTGTGTGACCGTAAGCCGAAAAGAAGACAGAAAAAAATAAGACAACAATCAGAGAAAGAAAGAAAGAAAAATGAACCTGTCAAATAAATAAATAAATAAAGAAAGAAAGAAAGAAAAATGAACCTGTCAAATAAAGAAAGAAAGAAAGAAAAAATGTAAAGAAAGAAAAAAGAAAGAAAATGAAATTAAGAGTACCAGACAGAAAAAAACATCAAGAAAATACGAAAGAAAAGGAAAAGAAACAACCATAAGTAAAAAAAAAAAAGAAAAGGAAAAAAAAAAAAAAAAAAAACAATGCCACAAGGTAAAAAGAAAGGAAGATGGAAAGAACAAAAAAGAACAACCGGTACCAGAAGGAAAAAAAAAAAAGAAAGAAAGAAAGAAAGAAAGAAAGATGGAAAGAAACTAGTCCCACAAACAAAGAAAAAGTAAGAAAGCAACGTAAACAACCAGTATCAGAAGAAAGAAAGAAAGAAAGAAAGAAAGAAAGAAAGAAAGATGGAAAGAAACTAGTCCCACAAACAAAGAAAAAGTAAGAAAGCAACGTAAACAACCAGTATCAGAAGAAAGAAAGAAAGAAAGAAAGAAAGAAAGAAAGAAAGAATGAAGGAAGGAAAGAAAGAAAAGGAAACAACCAGTACCAGAAGGGAAAAAAGTGAAGCAACCAGTACGAAAGAAAGAAAGAAGAAAGAAGGAAAGAAAGGAAAGGAAAGGAAACAATAGTTCCAGAAGGAAAGGAGGACAGAAAGACAGAAAAAGAAAGAAAGAAAAGAAAACAACCAATACCAGAAGAAAGAAAGAAAGAAAAAGAAAGAAAAAACACAGAAAAAAAAGAAACATTGAAATAAAAAAAATATTATGCAAATAAGAAAAAATTAAAATAACCAGAATAAATGAAGAAAGACAAAGAAGAAAAGAAGAAAAGAAAAATGAAAGAAAGATCTTCAAAAAAGATGGAAAAACATAAAAGAAAAAGAAATATTGGATATTAAAAATGGAAAACATACGTCAGAAAGTAACAAACACCAAAGAACTTAGATAAAAAAAAACCCATCATATATATATATATATATATATATATATATATATATATATATATATATGAAACTGAATGATAAAAAAAGGAAAACAAAAAAATGCAACTAGCAATGTCTAAGAATTTTCTTTGGGTCTCCAGACGAGTGTGCAAGTTTTGACATCACTGTTTGCTTATCTTCCTTTTAACCCATCCTGGATGTCTTCCAAACTGACATCGTATTCCCTACCACTTACCTAAAAGCAAACACTCACTGGTTAATGTACCTTCATAAAGACACACGTTTTAGTTCTTTGGTATAAGAGAAGATACACGTGTGCGTCTTTTTACGTGTCATCAGATGGTGGATTTAGTAACACGTTTACACTTCAAAACTTGCGGCCGTATCACGTTGAATTTGGGGCCGATCACCGAAGTTAAACGACGTCGAGCCTGGTCAGAACTTAGAGGCGCATCCGCTTTGGAATACCCAGTATCGTAAGCTAAAATCGCTGTGTAGATGTAGCCGTAAATTCTATGCTAACAGTTTATTTTCTCGCACTTCTCGTTTGTGTAAATCACTCTCGCGCCATGCTTTTCAGTCAACTATAATATGCAAAAATTTAAATGCAATACCAGTCGCTCCCGCCTGATTGCTCTTCCTCTGTCCTCGCTCCTTAGCAATGTTCCTGTTTGTAAGTCTTACACACCCAGTAACCACATTAGTATATATATATATATATATATATATGTGTGTGTGTGTGTGTGTGTGTGTATGTGTGTGCTTCTTCTCACGTACCTGTATACACACGGTCCGGCGCATGACGATCACAGAACATCATGTATGAAAATATATGTTTATTCTCATATATATATATATATATATATATATATATATATATATATATATATATATATATGTGTGTGTGTGTGTGTGTGTGTGTGTGCGAGCGCGTGTATGTGTGCTTGTTTGTGTGTGGTTTGTGTATATGTGTGAATATGTGTGTGTATATATGTGTCTGTGTGTTTTGTACATGTATGTATTTATGATTGTTGTGCAGTGTGCTTATATGTGTGCGTATATATATATGTGTGTGTGTAGGGTATATGTTTATGTGTGTGTATATATGTGTATGTGTGCATATCAGTGTGTGTATGTGTGTCTCTGTATGAGTGTCTGTTTGTGTATATGTATATGAGGGTGTGTGTATTTCTTTGTGTGTATGTGTATGTATAAATATATGTGTGTGTGTGTGTGTGTGCGTGCGTGCGCACGCGCGCACGCACGTGAAGACATAATCCACCAGTGCTCTACTTTTGTTCCATTGAAGGTTATACTTTTCTTGTGTAAAAGAAACATGTCCCGGTTTTAATGGCTTTCTCAGACGTTGCCACTCAACATCGCTTATTGCCTGCCTGCTACTTTACATAGCATGCAAGCTCCCAACGGTGAGAAAGACAGAAAGTGAGGGTCCAGAAAAGTGCAAGGAAGATGAGATAGTTAATGCGAAAAATGGGTGGGGAGACAAGGAGGACCGATCTAAAACGAGATGCACAGAGAGAGGGGGGAGGCAGGCTAAAAATGAGACAGAGATAGCGTATGGGCTTGAAAGTGTGAAAGAAAGAGAAATGGAGAAAAATACTGTGATAAAGATCAGGAGAGAAAGAGATAGTAAACGAAACACTGGTTTAGATAAATAAATAAGTTTTAAAGAGAAAGAAAGAGAAAAGATGATAATGATAATAACCCACAGACAAAAAATACAAATTAGACAAAAGGAAAATAGAGAGATAGAGAGAGAGAGAGAGAGAGAGAGATAATGATAGAGTGAGTGAGGGGGGTAAAGCGTACAGGTAGAAAGAAAGAAAGAAAGAAAGAAAGAAAGAAAGAAAAGAAAGAAAGAAACGAAAAGAAAGAAAGAAAGAAAGAAAAAAAAAGAACAAAAAACGAACGGAAGAAAGAAGGAAAGAAAGAAAGAAAGATAGAAAAGAAAGAACAAAAAAAACCAACGACAGAAAGAAGGAAGGAAACGAAAGAAAGAAAGAAAGAAAGAAAGAAAGAAAAAAACGAAAGACAGAAAGAAAAAAAAACAACGAAAGAAAGAAAAGAACGAAAGAAAGAAAGAAAGAAAGAAAGAAAAACGAAAAAAAAAACCAACGAACGAAAGAAAAAAGAAAGAACGAGCGAAAAGAAAGAAAAAACGAAAGAAAGAAAGAAAAAAGAAAAACGAAAGAAAGAAAAGAAAGAAAGAAAGAAAGAAAGAGAAAAAAAGAAAGAACAAAAAAAGAAAAAAAAGAAAGAAAGAAAGAAAGAAAGAAAGAGCAGACGGACGAACAAAGAAAGAAAGAAAGAAAGAAAGAAAGAAAGAAAGAACAGACGGACGAACAAAGAAAGAAAGAAAGAAAGAAAGAAAGAAAGAAAGAAAGAACAGACGGACGAACAAAGAAAGAAAGAAAGATAGAAGAACAAACGAACGAGCGAACGAACGAGCCAAAGAAAGAAAGAAAGAAAGAAAGAAAGAAAGAAAGAAAGAAAGAAAGAAAGAAAGAACAATTCCAAAGTTTGATCAGTTGGTTAGATTTAGAGAGGTAGTTCTTTGGGAGGTAAGGATGCAACCACATAAAAACCACTATGAGAAGAAGGAATGGAAAAAAGTAATAGAGGGAGAGAGACAGACAGAGAAATTAAGAGAGAGAGAGAAAAAAACGTTAAAGATAAGGTGAAAATGACAACAGATATATGGTTTTAAAAAAAGCTTCAAAAGGTGCGTACACCTCAATTGTGAAGGAAGGGAACTATGTTAAGAACGGGCATTGGAAGGAATCATAAAACTTTGTATTCGTTTTATTGTTTTATGAGCTTTTGCTATTATATTTGTGTAATTAATGAATGTATACTTTTGTAATCATTTCACCCCAAGCAAGGCGGTAATGCCACTAGAACACAGGGGGGGGGGTTACAGGGAAAGGGAATAAAAGAGAATAAGAAGATGAGAATGGGGATGATTAAAAAAAAAAAAAAAAAAAAAACGGAACAGGACTCAAGCAGAAAAAAAGATGCCGATTGATGTTGCATTGAAATTTTTGAAGATTGTATTTAACAGCGAAGTAAGAAATTGGAAGGGAGTTCCACTGTCGGGAAGAGCGAGAAAAGAAACTGTTCGAATAGAAGAGGCGTTTGCGTTTAGCTATTTCAACAGTTGCCAATCCAGTAGCACGCTTAAATTCAGGTAGTCGGGGTACCAGGGAAAAAGCTCATCAGAGCAGTTGTCGTGAAAATATTTGTAGAAAAGACAGAGGGAAGCCACGACAAGACGATGAGAAAGTGACTGCAGTCAAGATGCCTGTTCAAACCCTTCTTTAGATTTTGTTAAGAATCTCAAGATGCACAACAGGAGTTTCTGACATGATAAAAAAATTCTGGCGCGACACAGTGAACCAACTTTCCTTACAATAGACGAAGCATTTTGTTCGATATAATGTCAGTGGAAAACGTGAGACCATATATACATATGTGACGTGTAAATTGCCGTCATTTTATATTTTTCATTTCGCGCATGCGTGTTGTCTGTTTTTGATTTTGTCGACTGCACAGTATTGTAGGGTCAAGCTGTGCACCGTCTGTGAGTAAAAGAGCACCATAACGAAATTCATTCCGCCAGAAATTTGGAAACGGCATTCAATACGTCTTGTTTATTTCATTATTTTCTTGCTGAGTTATATGTGCTATGCATTTTAGTTGTTACCACTGCTGAAAGTTCTCAAATTCAAGCTATTTGGTACAGTTCTATGTAATTTTGTAGCGTCAGTTCACAGGGTTCGAAGTACAATGATCCTTGATCTTAAAAAGCAGTGGTACGGAGCTGAGAGTTTAGATATTTCTGAAGGAATTTTGTGCTTTACATGACATCCTTATGAAATTCTCGATCTGACGAGAAATTTTTCGGTATTTGGTGAAAGTTTCCCGAGCGCAACCTATTCTGTATTTTCAATGTCCTTATCTTCTGTGCTATAACTCATCCACTCTCTGCGGCATTTTGTCACGTCAACGTGTCGTAATGGTCAGCAAGTTTGTCTCGCTCGTTCAGTTACGACTGTGTAGTGAATTCGCTCCTCTCTAGGTATCCTATACCCCCGGTCTTGTGCCACATCTAAGCTAATCTTAGAAAATCACCATACACAGAGGTATTAGAAGGGTTTAATATTTACTAATTTAAAATCCTGAAATTCAGGAATTCAGGGTAGGCACCATAACTGATTTCATTCTCATTACAAATCAGCTTTATGAGGCCTATTTCTTGGAACACTTAGTAGGGAGTTGATTTACTTGACTCCCCACTGAATCGGGTTGTGACACAAGGTCAGGGGAACAGAGTGTCTTCATTCGGACCGCTGGTCTTAGCTGGTCATAGCTTGTCCAAGCTGGACATTGCAGATCTAAGCTAGTCGTAGCTGGTCTTAGCTGGTCAGAGCCGGTGCAAGCTAGTCCCTGTGACCGGTAAGTATCCGAATGTGTATACACCTCGTGAGAGGGGTTTACACCTTCAAACACTTAGTAGGAGGGTGTTGATTTTCTTTGGTCTAAAATCATTCTTGTCTCAACTATGAATACCTATGTTATCGGCCTCCCCACCCCACCCCAATTTCAAAGAATAATGAAAAGAAGACACTAAGCAGTAGGTGATACAATGATTAAACATTTTCTTTTTGTGAAATGAAGAATAAAAAGAAAAGGACCATTAGAATCCATTTTGAAAGATTTGAGACAGAAAGATCAAAACTGCGAAAACTGCTTCATGAAGATCTACGGAAATATCTTCGTTCCGACCCCAACACCTTACTATCAGTTTTAATCTCAAAAATACCGATTTGGAGCGAGATATTTTTAGAAGCCCGTCGTATTTGTGAATAAATATTCACTCTGTTATGCGACCCACGTTAAGCGTTAAAACTGTTTAGAATGAGAGACTATATC